AGAAACTGCAATCAAATGATGCCACTCTGGAATGTGGACAAAATACAGTGGCACTTGGTCCAGGTTTGAGCGTATCAAGTGATTTGGCATACTCATTTAAATTCTCTAATGGAAGTTCTTTCTCTGCAGTCATACCTAGAATATTTTATTTCTTTAAGTGATGTGTTCTGGGACAGAGTTTTGCATGAAAGCATCAATTTTTATGCCTGACTGGAACTGCTGGCTGTCCTTTTTAAATATCATCTCATTCCTGCCTCAGGACAAGTGCCACCTACTGACAGCAAGAGCTGCTTCTGCTTGCTTAACTAAATTCATCAAGAATTCTAACCATGGTTCCTGTTGTTTCAGCCAGCTTTGCTTCAAGTCCAAATGCTGAACAGAGGCTTCTGAGATGAAGGAATATTTAAAAAATCTGGAATGGTACGTGCTTTAGTCCATTGAAAACCCGCCTGTTCAAGATGCTGATGACTGATGAAGAATTCCCTAACAGCACCATCACCAGTCACTCTACCAATCTTTTCTGGAAAAAAAAAAAAAAAAAGCAAATCCAACAAAAATATTCATACTGTATGGATTATCAAGTATTTAATTCAAAAGGCAAATCAGAAACAATTCAAAAGAGCCAAAAATCAGTAGAAATGCATGTCTAAACCTGAACAAAGACACAAAGCTCTATGCAAAGGAGTCTGAGTATTACAGGAATAATAAAAGTACCACTGCATAGTAAAAAGTCAGCTGCATTACTTAATGTAAAAGCGTTCTGGAAAAAATTTGCTATCAATTATGCCTCTCCCCTACATACAAGCTTCATAAATGAAGTATAGGGTTTTAAGAGATATTTTCTCTTTCTTTTGTCAGGTCTGGAGTCATTAAACAGAGATTAGCTGGATAAATAGAGGAAGTGATTTTTAAACTGTTTGCAAACTTAATGTGAAGAGCCCAGCCTTGCAAATTATCACGTCTAATCAGAGATGCACGCTTCACTGCTCCAGTAATTGTACTAGTATTAGTCAAATTCTTGTTGTCTCCTCATTAGCCATGAAAAGAAGACTCAAGATGTACTTCATTAGAGTATCCTGAATATAAATTTTTAGTGTAAGGAGGAAGAGATGCATTACATACTGCGCTTTATATATAGAGAAAAAATATTAAGGACATAAAACATATTGAATAATTCTGGTTTTCGACTGAATGTATGTCTTTAACAACCAATCCCCTCTTTTGTCTTTTCATTTTTTACTGTCTTGATCCCTTCTTTTATTTGCAGTGAAACTGTAGCAGTTGAAAATGTAATTTACAACCAATGTCATAGAAATATATTAAGAAATGTGCTCTATTATGCAGCCATTCCCATTTCCATAGGCAGAAAAACACAGCTTAATTGCGAGCTGTCTTTAGTAGAGACTTTTAGTAAATTCTTGACTACTGGATAGGTGATCTAACTTGCATTAAATGTAGATCAAATCAAAAGGTTTGTTCCTTTGATCAGCAAAGAATTTAAGTACATGCTCATGCCCTTCTTTATTTAGTAATGCCCTTAAGTATATGACACTAAATCAAGAGAATTTAAACACATGCCTAATATGTGAAGCATGTGCTTAAGGGAATTGGGGTTTAAAACATCCAGCTTGAATAGGATTTCCAAACAGGTCTATTAGAAGGCTAAAAGCAAAAACATTCCCAAGAATTTCAGTAGAAGGAGAGGCAAGGCAAATTTTCACATTTGTTTTTTCACAGCTATTTTTTTTGGTGCAAATCCCAGACTGAAATATTTGTATTACTCAACAACTGTTAAGGGAAGCTGAAAAGGAACTAGGCAGGTCACCAAAATGCTACCAGTAGGTGTCTTCTACCTCTCTGCTTTATGACAATTAAAATGAACCAGAAAGCAAATAACATGCAAAAATGTAACCTTTCACCCCTGGAACTACAGCACTAGATCACCAGGAGGTCAGATTTGTGGAAACTAGAATCTAAGCCAAATATGGTCTAGCATTTATTTTTGTGGAACACTAGGAATGAGGACTGTAAACAATTCCAAAGGGGAGGCACGTCCATAATGCATTGTCCAGCAACTCTCTGTACTGCAAGAAAGTGAACTGGATTTCTAGGCCTGAGGTTTGCTCCCCAAGTTGTCTCCTGTCAGAACACAGTGATATTCTCACCCAGCTGCAGCTCTACCGCTCAATAAAATACTAAAATACTCAGTTTATTATTATTTACTATAATTTATGCAGGAGCTCCTCATGCAAAGGGTGATGCTTTCTTGGTCAAAGTATCCTCCACAAAAAAAATTCTAAATACTTCCAGGTGCCTTTTTGAACAATATTAAAACACTTCAGAAACCTTTCATTCAGAATTAATTAACATAAAAAACAGTCTCCACAATATGGCACAGCCCTAAAGTGGTTTGTGGAATTTAATTAGGCTAACCTTCTTTTCACTACATTGGTACCACTCTGTAAGAAGTGGAAATCATTATTAAATCCTTTGGTGTTCACTGTAATAACATTAAACATGATGAACTCTTTTAGTAGTAAAGTGTATGTAGTACGTAATTCCATAATTTTGCATTAACTTGAAATTAATTTATGAAATATACTATTTGTCACCATACACTGAACACTTAAAAATTTCCTCCTCATCATAGTATTAGGATAATAAGATGATATTGAAGATCCCATCCAACTCAAATTATTCTGTGATATAATTGTGTGAATAGTTCAGTAATTTGTAATTTTGGAAAGAGGAGGCATGTCAGTGCAGCAAAAAGAAAATCAAAGCAAGGTCAAGTCCAGTCAAAGTGGCTGTTACCCAGAGTGGTACTAGATGCCCAAGAGATCTGTGATACAGATGATTTCTTTGGTCTAACCCTTGTTGGAAAACCCTGAAGGAAAAAGATTTTTTAGCAGTTTCTTGATTTCTCTGGAATTTGAAATAAATCCAGAACTTCTGTATTTTTTATAAAGAAACAATTTACTGTCAGAAAACTTCACCTGCTCATCAACTGCATCACTGTGTGAAAAATACAGCACAGACCTTGAAACTCAGGGAAAAAAAAAAGAGAAAAAAAAGGCAAATACAAAGCACAAGTGCTTGTCAAGTGACATATCTTGTCACTAGAAATGGTTAAATGATTAAGTATAAGATGATATCAGACACCAAACATATACAAACATCCTCAGTGAACGACACTAATGGAAAACAGTTTTGTCTTTCCACAGATTATTTGTTTTCATCACTGGACAATGCAAAATCTTTTATTAAAAATTCACAAAGGATGCATTTGGAATCCTTTTATCTGTCTGTCTAAAGTATTTCTAAGGTGCCAATCACTATATTATCTCAACACATTAAGAGAATAGCTGGATTTTACTAAATACAAAAAGAGATTCCAAAAGAATTCAAGATGAAAACACCTTATCCATCTACTTGGGGCTGGGCTCAAAGCCCTTCTTGGTTCTGGGAAAGGCTTCTCACAGCAGCTCTGAGGACATGCCTTTGGCCAAGTGTGGACACAAGCAGCACTTCACCTGACGGGCAGAGCCCAGAAGCTGATGAGAACACCTTGACTCCCACTGCCTACAGCTCTGAATTCCTTCTGAAGTTATGGCTATTACAGCTTAGGGACTACACTATAGCTGACGAACTGTGTGTGAGAGTGAAGCAATAGTACATGTAAGCATATGCTGTGAGTGGGAATGAATTTCAGCATGTGTTTGCACACTTGGCTGAACCACGCCCCTCACCACTTGGGCAGATCTTCAGTGGATTTTACATCAGCATTGCCTCAGCAGCTGCCTCTCCCTTAAATTGGTAAAAGTGATGTATGTCCCATAATTTTGGGTGTTGAGAAGTATTTCCCACCATATATGACTAATACTTCACATATATTTTACTCTATATAATTATTTTCCCAATACACTAGGTTTATGTAAAAAATGGGTTTTTAAACAATTTCTTCTAGCCTTATATTTAAAACTGTACTTTGCTCTTAAAAAGGTATTAAGCTAATTCACATAAAAGACAACTCTTCTTTGGAAAAAGTCAAGGATGCTTTGCCTGACCTATTTCCTTCCGTGATTTAATGATGGATAAAATAGACCAGAAGGATCAGATCTCCTAATACAGATAGTTAGCTGCAGAGCTTGCATAATAAATACCTTCCTCTTTTATATTATTGATAATGTTAATTTGTCCTGTTCAGGGCAAATTTGGGAGAGAACCCCCGAAGGAGTTCCTCTAGAAAGCAGATTCAATTGGTCCCTCCCACAACCAGTTTGGGAAAAAAATAAGTCCTTGGAGAAAAGTGGAAAAAAGTGTATATTAAACAATAAAACTTGAACAATATTAAACAAAGCCTCTTGCCACTCTAAAAGAGAGACAAACTCAGCAGAGTCCCCTCCCTGGATTGCAGCTTGGCTCACTCAGTCTGTTATCAGTCCCTCCATGTGCTGGAAGTGCGGCGGCCCAGGCCCGGCACACTGGGCCATGAGCTGCCAGTGCTCTTCTGGGGTTCAGTCCAGAGCAGCTTTAAACAGGTCCAAAGAAAAGGGAAAAAACCCCCACAGTCCAGGAACTTCTTTGCCTCAGCTAGTTAAAACTAGCTAACAGCAAAGGAGAGCTCTGTCCCACTGTCTGTCCATCCACATACAACACAGTCCAGCAGCAGGAACATGGAGGAGTGAGTGCAGTTTCTGAAAACAAACTCCATGCTTCTTCTCTTCCCCCTTTGCTCTTGAAACATGTCTTAAATGTGCAAAACTTATTATTCAGCATAAACAGAACAGACAAGCATCATACAGCCAACCCAGGACACCCTGTAAAGAAGAATCAGGCATGATCCTGTGGTACAGCCTACACTAAGCTTCATATTTAAAATGTATATCCAGCTATTTAGTAAGACACAAAGAATTCAGCTTATTTGCTCTGAGATAATAACATTTTTTTGAATGCAGAAAAACTTTAATAATGTATATATTAATACCCAAATGACTTACGATTAAGAAGTCTCCTCAGACCCAGTGTTTAAAGTTGAAACTTGACTGAATTCCATTTATGTTCAACATCAGTGACAATTCACTGTGTGCTGCAAAGAAAGAAACAACAGTTTGGAAGAATTATATTATTTTCTTTTTATATTTGGTATTACAATTGTGGTCCTAGTCATGCTGGAGAGCTCTTCCTCATTCTGCATTTTCTGTGTTTCCCTCACTGGTACTGGAATTTACCCATCAGAACTGGAGAGGGACAAATTTCAATTAGCCTGTCTCTCATTACAAGAGCTGTCAGGGTCATTTTGTGAACTGCCACAGTCTAGCACTGGCCTAATTCCAGCACTGCTTTAATGCTTTTTCTCCTGCTAACTCTGCTCTTTTTCTTAATCTTACTCTCCATTTCTTGACATGCTGTTTTCAGCCTCATTTTCCTTTCCCCAATGTACGTAGTTTATCTATCCTTCTCTTTCCTCAACCCAGCATCTGGCCTTCAAAACTCAAACCTTGCCCTTGTCGTTTTTCTTTTCTCTTCAAGTTTTCCCCTTTGATGAAGGCCCCTCTTGTCTTCCAATCATCATTTTGAAAAGAATTTCCAGCAAATTTCCTCTCTGTACAAACTGAGACTTTGTCTAAAGAGACCATTTTTACTGCAACTCAAAACACACTTCTGCTGATACTACAACATCACTCGAGGTCATAAAATGTAGCTTATATATTTTACCAGCCTAGTGATTTCAAGTGTTTATTCTCAACATATGTGAGCCTGAATTAAAATTTCCAGCACATGCCAGAAATCACAGGTATTGCTCCAAACAAATTACTACTGAAATGACTTCATGACCCTGCCATTCCAGGAAAAGTATCCTAGGTATTCTATTGAAGGCTGAGCCAAGCACCATTCAGAGACCTACAAACAATATTTATGCACTCTATAAAGTTCCTGTCATCCCTAAGTATTCTTTTATTTTTTTATTAACTATCCCTATGTAGATGTCTTTGGATAGCATTTGTTGGACAAAAGTATCCCAAAGAAGTTTTAGTAAAGTATACAGGGTTAGATTCTTATAGAACAAATGGTGTAGAATGTCTGATATTTCTGGAACAAACAAAGCTTGGAACTAATAGAAGACTCAGTAGAAAAATACCATATTGATTGCTTGAAAACTTTACTATTGTATAATGTGGGAATAAAAGAACACAGACTATTTAGGACTTTTTTTTTTTTTAAGACTTTTTAAAAGTGTTCTCAGCAATTGGCTGAGATTTAAAACATCCTTTTGTGCATGGAATTACATGCAGAGAAAAAAGCTAAGTCAATTAACTACACTCAGAAATTGGACCAGGTAACATTTATGCCACAGTCTCTTTACATAATACAGAACTCTTGTGAAAATGAATGAAACAGGAAGCTTCCCAAAATTATTATATCGAATTCTTGGCTGGAGAAAATGAGCACAGCTCTTTTGTGTTTTGAAAGTGGGAGGAATTTATATGGCTAAATTGTTATTTAATCATTGATTAATAACAAGAATCATGTCTCAGTAATAAGATTTTATACTCCTGTCTAATATGCCCCTGCAGGTTTTAGCTCTGCCTTCAAAAGCAGAGGTTACCCAGCCATTTCCTAGAGCTTCTACCTCTCTTCCATGTTCAGAAGTAGCAGACTCCCAACCCAACACAATGTATTGTAGCTGGAGCCATTTATTTCCCTGGAATAAAAAGGCACTTAAATGTTTCCCACACCAATAGAATATCACAAGGAGCTCATTTCCTCCTTTTCCCCATCACACAGCAGAGGGACAACTAGGCTCTGTATTAGCCCAGTGGCTAATACCAGTCAGAGCCTGGTGCCAATAGTGCCAAGGTTTAGAGTTTGACCCGTGCAGGCCATTCACTTAAAAGTTGGAATCAATGAGCCTTGTGGGTCCCTTCCAATTCAGAATATTTAGGGTGATTCTGGGGTTTTCTCTACTTAAGCATCAGTTCCTCTTCTCTGAGGTCAAGGAGGCACTTGCAAGGCTATGCTCCTGTGTGAGACTGGCTTAGTTCTCCAGAGCAATGCAGTCCTGCAGCAAACTGACTCAGGGCTATTTGTGCCCAGGACATGCTTCCCACAGCAGACTGTGCCCCACACCTGCCCTGCTAGAAAAGCTTGCCTGGGAATTTGCAGTTACTACTGGCAAGGTAAATACTCCTGCCAGTAACTGCGCATGGCATGACTCTGTAAGCACAGACTGCTCCTCGCTCTTCAACAACCTATGGATAGTTCTTACAGACCTCTTTGACCGTGTGTCTGAGCTTCTCTGAGTGCTACATATGCTAATCATTAGCAGCATTTTCAGGTAATCCCCATCTATTTATATGTTCCCAGCTACACCAAAAGGAAACTTCACAGGTTGTTAGCTAAAAACCACCTAAAAATGTAAATGGGTTGCTTTCAGTGGCAGGGAGGCGAGGGGGGGGACATTAGTAGGGGTTTGGTAGTGGTCTTGGTTCACCTTCTAATAACAAACTAACTCAAACAGTGAATATACTGAGATTAGCCGTGAAGCTGGAGTAGCTGGTGACAATCAAAGATCCATGCAAGTCACTTTGATGCTGTCAAGTCACATCTTTTAAAGAATTGTGATGAAACCAAGGGCATAGAGCTACTTGCAGTTCACTCATCCAAAACCAACACTAAACCTTGTGGATGCTGCACAGGTCACCTCGTGGTGGCTCTTGGAAGTGGGAATCAAACTGAAAGAGACACTTCGCCTCTATTCTACTGAAGCATCACCCACATCTACAAAGTTCATGGCAAGTCTACTGTGCCTCTATGACACAATGATCAGAATATCAACCTCTTCCATCAGAAAATCCTTCTTCTAAAGGCTGGGGTTGATTCACAGAATCTCACAGAAGAGAGCCTTCTCACCAGTAAGTATTGCCTTAGTGGAGAGAAGGCTGGCTATGCCCTTCCATTAAATATGCCTGTTGCACCAAAGGATATTAAATAATGATTTTATCTAACTTTTTAAAGCTGCTTGTGAGGATGAAACCAAGAGTTTACTGCATTTTTCAAAATCATTTAAGTGAATATTGCAACCCTGAGTAGCTTCAAGGAAATTGTCTTGAAAGGAAGACATTTCATTTGTTGTTTTGCTCTTATATAAGGTCACAGGATCTCAATACACCTCTGTGAACTAAGCCAAATTTCAGATGTGATTGTGTTTTTTCACAATTAAAAAAAAAATCCCTCACTTCCCACACCTTCATCACCTTCCTGACAAATTCCAGCTTCCTCTCATGCTACTGTTACAGGGAAGCTACTCACTTAAAAATGCAGGCATTTGAACAGTGGTTGTGATGATAACTTATCTTGTGCATTCAAATCACTATTTCTTTACAAATATATATAACCATACTTACAGAAATCTGTTAAGGATAATACACAATCAGCTTGCAGTCAGTACTGAAAGCATTAGAGAAAAAATTCTGGGTCCAAATTGGCCTTTCTTAGATGTGTAGGAATGGGTCGGACAGAAATTGGCAGAGCAGCTCTGGCCAATACACCACCTGACACAGCATACCATGAAAATCACCCTTTTTCTTCCTTTGTGATAACTCCTGCTTCATGAAGGGAGGGAGCTACATAAACCAAGTACCAGGGCTCTCTAAGGAAAGCAAGGAATAATCTGGAATCAGTACAAGCCAACAGCTTGGGAAAATATAGGAAATTTTTTTAGAATTTTAATCCATGTTTCAAATAAACTAACTAACCAAAAAAAAAGAAAAAAAACCCAGAAGAAAAAAAAACCAAACCAAAGAGTTAGAAAGAACTTTTCAGAGGCCTCTGCTTACCTGAGTTCTGAAGCTATAAACAGCTTGATTACCCTTTCCCCCACTTTTATAGCCTCTTCTATCTGCTCAGCACATGTGTTGAGCATTCCCTTTTCAACCTGCTCAGCACAGGTGTTCAGCATTCCCCTTTCAGCACAGGTGTGAATCCTTACACAAGGCTCAAACAAGGAACTTGTGTGAGGGAAGGTTTGTTAGCTCCACAAGAGCTCTCTATTTCTTTCTAGCAAGTCTTTCTTTGCATTTAAGCAGTTGCAATGTACCTCAGAGAACCTGATTCAGCAGGCAAATTGTTTAGACTAGAACCCTAGTTCTGAACTCATGATACAAACGATGTGGAGGAAATGAAAATAACCTTCATAATCTCACAGAAATGATGAAATTACTGACAGATTCTTCCTATTTTTTCAAACAAGAAACACCAAACTATCTTCTCCTAAAAGAGTAGTTCTTTCTTTGCAGCCACTATTATGCACTTATTACTAACAGCATTACTAATCCAAGGACTAAGGAAAACGACTCAGTGAAAATCATGTCAGTTTGTCTTTGTTTAGGGTGTACCTTCCTAACTCCTTCTCACTGCTGAGAATTTCCCAGCCCCTGGATCTGTTGATTCTTTTTACCTGCTGCTATCCCCTGCCCTGCCTGTCTTGGTGGCAGCTGTCACACAGCCCCACCTGCCATACTGGCCTTCCCTTCTAAAGCTGCAAGCTTCTCTCCCCACTCTGCAGCTAGCCTGAGCATCACTGTAGGAATATTCCCCAGCATACAATAAATAATCTAATCTAATCTAGTGGGTAAAAAAAAAATCTTAAAATCATTAAACCCTCAGCTTAGTTATTTATATTAGGTATTTTTGAACAGGGAAGAGAAGACAAAGGAAGATGTTTCATTAATTTTGTTGCAGGTTTTTTTCTTCCAGTACAATGCTTTGAACAAATTATTTTCCACAGGGAAAAAAAACCAAAACCAAAACAAACCCAAAAGAAAACATAGCAACCCTACAGTAAAATGATGGGCAGTGCCTTTCTTTTTAATCATATAAATTATTGCCAGCTGAATGATGAATCCACTCTGGGCAACATGACACAGTTTAGAACCTTAAGGATTACAGCAGTCCAGATGCTATCATCTTAATTGGAAAAGCACAGTATTGCCAACTGTCCATGTTAGAAAATGGAAGATTACATTATTATTATTTTTCCTTCACATTCCCCTGCTTTCCTTTTCTCTAAACAGCCAAGAACTGTTA